GGTGGGATAGATGGCGCCAGGCTGCCTGAAGGACGTCAAGTCGCTCGGTCTGCCCTGGCAGCTCAAGGGCCTGGAGGCCTTTGCGCTGGCGGCCAAGGCGCGGGTGGTCAGGTTCGAAGCCAGGAGCGCCCTCGAGGTGCGCCGGCGGGCCAGGCGGTTGCGCGCCTTGACGAATCACGACGGGGAGCGTTCTGTCATTCGCGCGGCTTGGCTAGAGGAGTGGCGGCCGCGACTCTTTTTGCTGCAGCCCGACGCTGTTGATGACCAGGTCGCACTTCTACTTCGGAGCGTGCCGCCAAGCGAGCGCTGGCTGCACGAGAAGTTGGGTTGGCAGCGCCGCGCGGCCGCCCTGGCTCAGGCGCCGCCCGGCGAACGCGCCTTCCAGCATCTCCGACGACGGCTGGATCGTTGGCCGGCCGCGACCTTGCCTGGGCGAAGGCTCGCTCGGGTCTTGGCCCGACTGCGGCTACTGGCCGGGTGCTGCGCGCCACGTGTGCAGGCTGCCTCTTTGCGATTGGTGTGCGATGGGTGGTTCACGCGCTGCCAGTTTCAAGGGGTTGGAGCCTGTCTTTTCGCATGCGACGGGCATGCGGACAGCGTTGCCCACCTTGTGCGCTGTCCAGTAGTGCGCCGCCTGGTCCAAACGCGTGCCGGTCTCGCCGGGACAACGTCCGCTGACGCTTTGGACCTTTTCCTCGGACTCTCAGGGTCGGAGGGGGCGGCGAGGCAGCGCGCGTTGGCTACTCCCGCTTTGTATAGGGTCCACAGCGCGCGCCGCACAGGATTGTTGGCATTGGCCAGCGTGGGCGGAGCCTTTCGCATGGCCCTCCAGGAGGCAGCACGAAGTTCATGACAGTCGCTTGCCCTTTGAGTTTCGTCTTTCTCGCGCCCATGCGTTGGCGCGGGAGGTTCGTGATAGCGCATGGCCCGCCGGCTTCAGGGCAATCAGAAGAGTTGCATCTTCTCGCTCTCCCCTCCTCCCCTCCTCCTCCTTCCTCCGCTTTGTCCCGTCTCAGGCGGCAGATTTTGGGGATGCCAGCCCGTCGACTTTGGCTCCCCTGCGGGCCGTCTATCCCAGCCGCGTAGCCGTTTGCGTCACAATGTGGCCCTATATGGAGCGGGATGGGGCTCAAAGATGTCCCGCGCCTCCTGGTGCATCCTTCCCCCCCTCGTCTCTTTCCTCCCGCTCTCGCCTCCGGAGGCGGTGCGCCAGCTAACCCTGCCGGATCGGGCTGGCTCTCCGCCTCCTCTGCCTGTCTCGTCCTCGCTCCCCCCCCGAATGATGCGGTTCGCAGCTTTTGCAGGCGAAGCTTTTCGCCCTCATTCTCCCTTCCCCTCCCTCTCGGCCCTCCTCCCCAGTCGTGGCGCGGAGTTCGCCCTCCGTGCGATAATTTGCGTTCGCGCCGGTGCACGCGGAGGTAGCCAGTGGAGGGCCTCCCGGTGTCGCCGACCGCTCCCTGATCGGGGGGTCGCCAACGAGCCCGCAGTGTCCTCTTTTGCCGGCCGCCTGCGATCACCACACGGCCATCTGGACCCTAAGGGTCTTCAGCATGCTGCATCCTTTTTCAGCCGAAGGTGGATGCATTGCAGTCTCAGCGCGCTTTGCGTTTCCTCCTTCCCTCCTCCTGCGCTCCTCCCTCCTTCCTCTTGTTCCCCCTCTCCTTCCCCACCCCGTTTCACCGATACGATTTGGGGTGAGCTCGTATCGTGTAGATTTTTGGTGCCAGAGAAGGGGGCGAACCAACACTTTAAGAAATTAGGTTGGCGTGTTGGCTCCGTTTGTGCAGAAGTCTTTCTTTTTCCCTCCGTTCCCCTTTTTCCTGGAACTTGCGGCCAGAATTTCGGCCACGTTCGCAGGACAGCCTCCGTCCGATTCCTGTGCATTTGCGGTGCCGCTGCGCGTTGCCTCGTTTCTCCACCGCTGTTCGGCCAAGTGGCGTGGGCCATTCTGCCGCGGTGGTCGTGTTGTCGTTCTCCGTCCGAGGCCCTGTGGGCCTGCTGGCCTTGCTGGCCCTGCTAGCCCCCCCATGTTAACAAATCGCCCCCCGCCCACCCCCATGTTAACAAATCGTCCCCCCCCCCCATCGCGGCGGGTCGCAGCGGAAACCCCCATGTTAACAAATGCCTGGGTTGCGGTTCACTTTGCTCCAGAACCCCATCGCCGAGGATGCCGTTTTTTCCTCGGACCTTGGGCCCCTTTTTTTTTCCGGGGCGCGCCAATTTTTGTTTTGCGGGGTCGCCCAAATGGCAACTCGTTGCACAGAAGGTGATTCATGCAAGCACGTCGCATATATGTAGAATTGCGCATGCACGGCCGCGCATTATTTCGCTTCGAATGGGACCCACTGGCCTCCCACGGTCTCCAACCCCAGTGGCCTTGTTCGCGGAGTCGGCCGCAGATGCTGAAATTTCCGCGGTCTCATATGGCCCTCGGTGTCGTAGTAGTCGTAATCGTAGTAGTAATAGTAGTCGTAGTAGAATGAGTGGTCGTAGTAGTAGTAGTAGTAGTAGTAGTAGTAGTAGTAGTAGTAGTAGTAGTAGTAGTAGTAGTAGTAGTAGTAGTAGTAGTAGTAGTAGTAGTAGTAGTAGTAGTAGTAGTAGTAGTAGTAGTAGTAGTAGTAGTAGTAGTAGTAGTAGTAGTAGTAGTCGTAGTAGTGGTAGTAGTAGTAGTAGTAGTAGTAGAGTAGTAGTAGTAGTAGTAGTAGTAGTAGTAGTTAGTATAGTAGTAGTAGTAGTAGTAGTAGTAGTAGTAGTAGTAAGTAGTTAGTAGTAGTAGTAGTAGTAGTAGTAGTAGTAGTAGTAGAGTAGTAGTAGTAAGTAGTAGTAGTAGTAGTAGTAGTACGTAGAAATAGTAGTCGTAGTAGTAGTCGTCGTAGTAGTAGGAGTAGAAGTAGAAGTAGTAGTAGTAGTAGTAGTAGTAGTAGTAGTAGTAGTAGTAGTAGTAGTAGTAGTAGTAGTAGTAGTAGTAGGCGTAATACTAGTGTATAGTATTAGCATTTGTATCTTTATATTTATTAGTCGTCGTTGCAGTGGTAGTAGTCGTAGTAGTGCGGCGCCGACGACGCCGAAGCCGAAACCGACGACGCCGATGAGGACGACGCCGACGGCGACTCCTACGACGCAGCATGACCACAGCAAAACTTCAGGAAGCCACAGGAAACCACAACAAAATCATAGCAAAGCCACGGCAAACCACAGCAGACAAAGCCACAGCAACAACACAACAAACTCACAGACAACTCACAGCAACCCACAGCGAACCACAGCAACACCACAGCACAACCACAGCACAACCCCAGCACAACCACGGCAAAACAACAGCAAACCACAGCTCAAGAGGTCCCAGGAGGTAGAGGCCCCAGGATGCCCCAGGAGGAACAGTGGAATCCGGAGGTCCAGATCGGTAACCTCCAGAGGTTACCGACCCAACCTCCAGATTTCAGTCCCTTCCTTTCTCTCCTTTTCTCCTTCTCGCTCCTCTCATCCTTTTCTCTCCTCTCATCCTTTTCTCTCCCCTCCTATTTTTCTCTCCTCTCCTCCTTTTCTCTCCTCTTCTCCTTTTCTCTCTTCTCCTCCTTTTCTCTCCTCTCCTCCGTTTCTCTCCTCTCCTCATTTCTGCTCCTCTCCTCCTTTTCGCTCCTCTCCTCCTTTTCGTTCCTCTCCTCCTTTTCTCTGCTCTCCTTCTTTTCGCTCCTCTTATCCTTCTCTCTCCTCTCCTCCTTTTCTCTCCTCCCCTCCTTTTCTCTCCAGGCCCTCAAGAGGCTTCAAAACTACCCAAGAAGCCCCCAAACGACCCGCCAGGAGGCCCCCAAGAGGCCCCAAACCGAAACGGCTGCGAAGCAGCCTCCAAAACAGCTTCCGAAACCGCCTTCGAAAGATATTCCGAAACCGCTCCGAAACATTTCCGAAACAGTTCCGAAACAGCTCCGAAACGGCATCCGAAATGGTTTCCAAACAGCCTCCGAAGCGGTTCCGAAATAGTTCCAAAACGGCTCCGAAACAGTTTCCGAAACAGCCTCCGAGACAGCCTCCGAAACAGCTTCCGAAATAGCCTCCGAAAGAAATTCTGAAATTGCTCCGAAACAGCTTCCGAGACAGTTTCCGAAGCTACCAAACCGAACCGAATCGAGGAGGAGGAGGAGGAGGAGGAGGAGGAGGAGGAGGGGGTTTGAATCCGAAAACCCAGACTTTCAAAAGTCCGGGTCTCAATTTTTGATTTCCAGGTCTACCGTCCTCCTCCTCCTCCTCCACCTCCTCCTCCTTCTCCTCCTGCTTCTTCCCTCCAACTCATGGTGGTGGTGGTGGTGGTGGAAAATAGGTCATCCCCTGAGTCCAAATGGGCGCTTTCGTCCAGTTCTGAGGTCCCAGGACCCCCCACGGACCTGTCTGGCTAGAGAAGTGCAGCAGGAAGATGGGGTCTAGGGCTCCGGCCGTGCTTTTTTGCAAAGTCGCACTTTTTTTTGCATCGTCGGATCTCAGGGGCTGTGGACCCCTGGACATTTCAACCAACCCCCTCCCTGGGACCTCTTTTTCATCACGAACCGTTTTTCTACGGTCCGGGAGCCTGGCGAGGGCCCTCAGACCTGAGCCTGCGTATCCCAATTGTGGTGGGACGTCTTTCCCGAAACCGCCCCTCTGATTGCATAATTGAGGCATCCAGGGGCATTTTACTTGGGCTTCGTCAAGACCTTTGAGAGCCCCTTGGGCTCTCTCAGTGGCCCAGAGGCAAGCTGCTTGGGAGATGCGAGGCCCCCAGAAGTCCCGACCCTTTCCCAAGGGGCGGCTTTGCTTCCTGGGTCGTTTCCTGTGGGTCCCAGGGTCGGGCGAGGGCCCCGAGAGGCTGAAAGCTACGAGTAACCGATGTAATTATTCAATCTCTCTCTCTCTCTATATATATATATATATTCATTTTCATTTTCGTTTATATATATATACACTTATATATATACACATAGGTTTTCTGGATGTTTTGTTGTTTTGTTTTCGTTTTTTTTGGGGGGGGGGGGTCGAGACGTTGGATGTCTGGGCGTGGCGCGCCGCCAAGGCGACCCCTGGGGCGGGGTGCCAGCCAGCTGCGCCCCCACCTCCGGGTCCGTCGTTGACGAGCTGGCGTTCCTGCTGGGCAACTTCCTGCAGCCGCAGCTCCTGGTGACCGCCACCGCCGTGGCGGACTTGCCCGCCACGCGCGCCGAGCAGGTCTGCGTCCGCCTTTCTCCTCGTGCTCGCCCTCGTTCTCTTCGTCCTCGTCCCTGTGCTTCTCCTCCTCCTCGTTGTCCTCATGCCTCTCACTATCCTCGCGTTCTCCACGTCGTCCTCGTCGTCGCCTCCTTGTCGCCCTCGCCTTCCTTTTCTTCTTCCTGGCCCAATGAGCCCCTTGGACTAAAGCGGCGCTTCCCGTTCTTGTCCGATCAGGTTTGCCCGCCACGCGCGCCGAGCAGGTCTTCGGAGGGCACCGGCTGCACACCCACACCGCTCCTGGCCAGGCCGATCCGGGCCCAGCACCAGTATGTACACGCCGGTCGTTGAAGGCAGGTGAGTCTCAGATCCCAATCTACTGCAGGTGCCTTCCTTCTTCAAGAATCGCTCTGCTCTTGCCGTGTCTTGCTATTCTCGGGGAGGACCTGAACCGCACTTACTTTATCCGCCTTCCTACGGTCGGGCCGAGGCATCAGATCGAGGTCGGTTCGGGGAGGGAGCCCTGCTGTTGTTCGTGCTTGTGGGATGTTCTTGTGAAGGCTGGGGGGGGCACCCTTGGATGTTCCGTGTGTTTTGGCCGGCGGAGGGTCTCACGTTCTCGATGGGTGCTCTTCTGTCCCGGGTCGGTGACCACGTGTGCACTCTACCCCCACCCACCACGATTCCTGAGTGGGGATGGGGGTTCGCTTCGTTCGAAAGCTCCCGAGCGACATGAACCCAGGCCCCCCTTAGAGATTGTGGAGGGTGGGGGCAGGGTTCACATGTGGTCGCCTGCTGGGTCTGGCCGTGTGTATCGTGCGCGGCGAGCATCTCCGCAGCCGCGGCTTCGCTCGGTCGGGCACCAGGCCTCGCTCCTCCGCGCGGATCCCCAGGGCGCCTCGTCGCGGCCGCCCCGCGCGGAACGTGGCCGTGCTACCGTGTGTCCGCGGGGTCGCGCCCTGGACCCCAGCCCGCGAGGGCGTGGATATTTCGAGGTCTTGCCTTGTACTCCTCTGTCGGGGCCTCCTGGGAGGCCCTCGTCGCCACCGCTGGATCCGCTTCGAAACTCCGGTCAGAACGCACCCCAGGAGAGGTCTGGGGAGTAGCGGTATCGGTACCTGTTGGTTTCCCCAGATTTGGATACGTTCGCCGCTCGTGAATGCATGATCCCGGGCTCTGTGTCCACGCCACCCCCCCTGGAGATGCGGTTGGTCCCTGGGTCCCAGGCGCAAGCGGCGGCCCCCCTCCGGATGGCATGGGGCGACGACGACGACGCCGCCGCCGCCGTCGACGACGACGACGAAGACGACGACGACGACGACGACGACGGCGGCGACGACGACGACGACCGCCTCCATCGACTCTATCGATTCGGGTGGTGGGGAGGGGACGCCACGCCACGCCTACAAGGTGGGGGGGCGCATCGCGCGGGGGGCGGCCGAATGCATTCTTCCTTGCCTTGCTTGCCCAACCCAGGACTGCGTATATACCGATCCTTGGCTCAGGATGGGCCTGGCCAGGATCGGTGCACCCTGGGATCCGACGCTGCAGAACTCATGGCTGGCTCCCTATCTTTCTGCTGCAGGTTTCGAGCCCGATCGATCCGCGCGAGAACTCTCGGTATTAACAAAGATGCAGCGCTCGGATGTCCGTGTATACTAGCTAGTAATCTTCTTACCCCCGAGCTTGTGACGGATCGCGAGTGTAGGGATGGGGCTCGGGTGGGGTATGGAAAGACCATGTCGAGAGGGGTGCGGCGGGGGTTGAGACTTTGGGGACGCTTGGAACAGGGGGGGGGATGGGGACGCTCCGTCGGAAGGTCAGTCGCGTACCCAGTCCCCCGACATCCTGATTCTTTCCATCCCATGGACTCCCCCAGGTCTGAACCCCTTCCTGGGCATAACTCGGGCCCCTGGCGTCCATTCGGAACGATCTCGGCCCCAGCTGAAGAGCCGAGTGAGGGGGGTTTGACGCTCCGTTGGAGTGTTAGTCGCATGGGTAGGCCCCCGACGCCCTGTTTTTTCCCATCCCGTGGGCCCCCAGAGGTCTGGACCCCTCCCCGGGCACCACATTTTCACCCTGAGTCGTTTCTTGACGGTCCCTGGTCCCCTGGCTTGGGCCCGCAGGAGGCCGAAAGTTATCAAACTCCTCCAGTCGTTCTTTTGTTTCTCTTTTTTTTGTTACGACGCGAGGGGGCCTGGTTTTTGGGTCGTCGCTCGGGCCTCTCGCCCCCTCCCTGAACGCCCTCGCCGAGGCGCAGCTGCGGGAGAGCATCCCCGAGGCTGGGAAGCCTAGAAGACTTTACGAAGACTGCCGAAAGCCTTGCGTGCAAGCTCTGGGGAGGGAAAGGGCTGTTCCCGCACATCTGGGGGTCGTGTTTTCCCATGACACCTTCTCCCTTGTTACCTCCTCCTCCTCCTCCTGCTTGCGTTGAGCGGACTTCAAGGTCTGTGCTTCAGAGATCTGGGCTTGCAGCGTTCTTGTGAAACACATGCAGTAATGTACGGGATGCATGCGCCGACTGGCAACACATTCAGCTGCTGACAGGTGCGGATGACAGAGATGCGAAGAGGCAGCAGAAAGAGACGAGCTGCCCAGCCAGGCGTAGAGTGACCTTGTACGCGGCTAGGAAGGGGAGAGAGGAAACCCGAAACCATCCTCCTCCTCCTCCCTTCCCTCCTTCCTTTCCTCCTCCTCCTCCTCCTCCTGCTCCTCCTGCTCCTCTCCTCCTCCTGGGGGTCCAGGGTTGGCGCTGTCCTGAGGTCTGGGAGCTGCTCTGGCCGCGCGGCGCCGCCGGGCCGGAGGCCGGCTGGCTCCTGGCGCAGCCGCAGGCGTGCTACGGCATCCCCGCGCCGCTGCAGCTCCTGCGCGTGCGCGGGGAGGCTCCTGCAGTCGGTCGGCGTCACCCCAACATACTAATACGACTCTGGGCTTCTAAATACACGCCGGTCGTTGGAAGTAGGTGTTTTTGGATTCCCAGATCCCAATCTACCTCAAGTGCCTTCCTACTTCAAGGATCAACATGCTTTTGCCATGTTTTGTTATTCTCTGGGAGGTCCTGGGCCCAATCTACTAGATCCGCCTTCCTACTTCGTGTTTCTAACTACTTCTTCCGACCGACGTGTAAGCGTGGAGGGGTACCCTCCTGAGGGGGGGTCAACCTCGCCTCGTCGTCGCGCCGCGACGGGGGTCGGAGCGCCTTCGGCGCGTGGTGGCTGCCCGCGACAGGGGTCGATGTGGGGCTGTCGGTGGGGGTGACCCTCCCCCGACGCTTATCAAGAAACTCGGAGTATGTGTGCGTCGCCCCCCCCCACCCACCCCCCAAGGGCGACGCGCGCACCGAGAAATCTTATAGTGTATGCGTCGTGGCGGGCGCTTTCTGGCCACACCGCTCTGGAAACGATATACTACAAGATGGGTATGCTAGATGTTCGTGTCGGACGCGCGCCTCCAAGGAGGATACATACATATATATATATATGTATATATATATATATGTATATACATATATACATACATACACACATGTATATATATATATATATATATATATATATAGTACTAGTCTGTTTCTGTGCGTCCCAGTCGGTGCATAGCTGGTCGGCTTCTCGTGCCCTGTCGCCCGTCTGGGGGTGCGTGTGCCCCGTGGGCGCCACTCTGGCCAGTGTACTTCTCTCGAGGGTAGCGGGCCGCGGCTTGCTCCGTCAGAGTTTTCCGCGCTGGGGGCGAAGATTCCCATCCCCAGAATCAGGAGGGACAAACCGGGGCACAGACACAAATAACAAGTCGGTTCCCAGGAAACGACATGACACTGTGGGAAGTGGATGGTGGAGACGAACATGCAAAACATGTGTCAGAACATGGGACCCCCTGGATTTGTGTCTATTTGTTTGTGTCCCTGGGCCCTGGGCCCCTTCACGGAGTCCCTACGTAGCGGGGGAGGCTCATGGGGAGAAGAGCGCACACGGTACAGCGGGAGGCGGACCACGGAGAGATTCTCGGACAGTCCGCGGACGTTTTCGGGGCCCCGGAGGGTTCCCAGGGCGCTCCAGGGTTGCCACAGGGTGTGATGGGAAACCACGACCCCCAGGATGGGGGGGGGGAACGGCGATCTCCCTCCCCACGCCTTGCACGCAAGGTTTCGGCAGGATTTGCAGATTCTTGTAGGCTTCCCAGCCTCCAGCAGCTCCGCCTCGGTGAGGGCGTTCAGGGGGGCCAGGATCGTCCCGAATGGACGCCAGAGGCCCGAATCATGATCCGAAGTCCAAGCCCCCTCGTGTCGTGAAAAAAGTCACGACGGGGAATGTTTGATAGTTTTCGGCCTCTAGGGGCCCTCGCCAGGGACAGGGACCGTCAAGAAACGACTCGGGGTGAAAATCTGGTGCCCGGGGAGGGGTCCAGACCAGGGCTGGACCTAAACGCTGTTTCGCTGGACTCTGGCTGTGTTCTGTTTTTTTTGTCTTGGCAGGGAGGTGCCGGAAAACAGGTCGAGCAAGACGGAACACAACACGAACAGCAACGTTTAGGCCCAGTCTCGGTCCAGACCTCGGGGGGCCCACGGGCTGAAGCAGACAGGGCGTCGGGGGCCTGGGTGCGCGACTCACCTGCCGACGCTCCCGCCTCTTCTTCAGGGGAGGCTGAGATCATTCTGAGTGGACGCCGGAGGCCCGAGCTATGACCCGCAAGCACTCGGAGGAGGGCCCGCCGAGGCGACGGCGGCCCTCCCTGGCCCTCCTCGTCCTCGTCGGGCCTCCAGGAGGCGTCTCGTTGCCACGACTGGCCCCGCGTCGAGAAACTTCGGCGGCGAGCGCGGGGGAAGTGCGACGGAGAAGGCCTTCTCGGGAGGCGGCGGGGCTTCTCAGAAGCGCTCTGACCTTGTGAGAGGAGTTCTCCGTCGTCGGGGAAGGCTCAGATAATTTTTCAGAAGGCGGGAGGACTTCCGAACCTTCTGAGGAGGCCCGCCCCTTCTCACCTCCCCCCCAGGCTCGCCGCCGACCACTGATCAGGATGGGCCCTGGGTGGGGTCCAGGGGCAGATTTCCAGGGGATGTTGCACGTACGCGGGGAGAAGACTGCACATCAGGGGTAGCGTCAGGGGGGGAGGAGCCAGGCTCTCTCTACGCGGGGGAGGTCGAGGAGGAGGAGGAGGAGGAGGAGGAGGAGGAGGAGGAGGAGGAG